CCAGGACTTAAGCTGCCTCCAAAGCCAAGTTCAAAGTCTGCTTTCTCCAAGAAGCCTTTTCTAACAATGCTGCCCCAGAAAGCTGCATCTCTGCCCTGCCCCCAACTTCAGTTAATTTATATATCTAGCTAATTTTGTCATAGCCAGTCAGGCCCTGTATTTTTTTTTTTCAAGTGAGCCTGGTTTTTCTGTATCACTGTAAGTACCTACTGCGCAGAGAACGCCTAGCACACTCTCTTAAATCCCACAACACCAAGCAGAAGGCTGGGCCCACTGTGCTCCAGGCTCATGTGTCAAGGGATGTCATAGGAAGGAAGGGTACCCTTCCTGAAAGTGAGCTCCAGAGGAGACGGGAAGCTGCCAAAGACCATCTTCCCATCCTTTATTTCATGATGGAGCCACCAGCCCGCCCTGTTCTTGCTCAGAGGAGAAAAACTCTCTTCCCTATGACAGTCTGCTCCCTAGAGTATGATCTTTCACCATAAAAAATATGATCCTCTCTCGCCAGCTAACAATCCAGTAGCTCCTGATTCTTCAGGATAACCCCCAAACTCTAGCATGGCATCCACATCCCCTCAGGGTCTGACTCCTAATTGCCTCTCCAGCCTCAACTTCCAAAATGCTCCTCACGCTCTAAGCTCCAGTCATATCACTCTCATTGCAATACCCCAAAAGCACCCTACTCTCAGGCAGCTGGACTTTCATACCTTCAGCCTAGAATGTCCACCTGTTTGTCGGCTTCCCCTATGAAAACTCAGCTCAGCCGTCTTTTCCTCCAGGACCCCTTTCTCCAGGTTGAGTCCTTCCTCTGGACTCCTGCTACATCCTGTGTTCCCCACTCTCTCATGCACTATTACGTAACTGTCAGTCTGTGTACCTACCAACTCATGGAATGAACCCAGGGCAGGGACTGTGCGGTTCTATCTGATTCTCTAGTTCCTGCCATAGCCTGACATGTCATGAGTGCTCCAAGGTGTTGAATATGAACCACAACCTAGCTCATGCGTTCCCAGACCCATTAGAAGAAAGGGTATCTCTGATATGCTGCTGGGAGTACAGCAAGGGCCTTGATCTGTGATAGACATCATGAGAGTTTTTCTTTGTTACAGTAGTAATGCTGACGTCCTGAGAAGGGAAATACAAATTTATTAGGTACTGACTGTCCCAGACACTTTACTAAGTGTTTTGTGTACATTGTCTCATTTTACAGATGAGGACATTGAGGCTCAGAGAGGTTAAATGACTTGCCTAAGGCCACTCATTAGGTAAAGGCAGGGCCAGGATTTAGACCCAGGGAGTCAGACTCTGAAGCATGTTTTTTGTTTGTTTGTTTGTTTTGTTTTTTTTTTTTAATTGGGGAATTGGGAAGGGGAACAGTGTTGGGGAATTGGGGAGGGGGACCAGCCAAGTTGTTGTTCTTCAATCTTCGTTGTGGAGGGCGCCAGTTGCTATCTGGCTTCCGGCCGGCAACTCATGACCTCTAAGCTCGAGGTGCCGTTTTCAATCTTAGTTGCAGGTGGGCGTAGCCACTGCCCCATATGGGAGTGGAACCTGGCAGCCTTGTTGTTCAGAGCGCATGCCCTATCCACTGAGCCATCCGGGCGGCAGCTCAGCTCAAGGTGCCGAGTTCAGTCTTAGTAGCAGGTGGGCACAGCCCACCATTGAACAGTCAATCTTGTTGTTATACCAGCGGAGCCATCCTGCCACCTGTTGGCAGCTCAGTGAGAGCTCAGCTCGGGCACAGCGTCACTGGCCCATGCGGGAATCGAACCGGCAGCCTTGTTGCTCAGAGCTCACGCTCTGAAGCCAACTCTTAACCAACTGAGCCACTCAGCCGGACCCTGAAGCATGTTCTCTTAACCACTATATTCTACTGTCCCCAGTAACCGTGAAGGGATAACGGAGGTATCTACACTAGGAGCAAATTCCAGAATCTGCAGAACTTCACAGGCACATCTCTCGGTCATTCTCTGGGCCCCACTACCTTCGTACAATGCTCCTGCCAGGATGGGTGGGGAGGAAGAGCCAGAGGAGCTAGATGGGAGACTCCTACTATTCTAGTGTGATGAGGTGCTCAGAAAGCTGCAAATATTTACCTTGGAAAAAATAAGAATTTTAGGGAACCAGACATTAATTGTAGAATATGTAACAACCATCTAGAAGGACACAAGATTATGTCTCTACGTAATCCCATAAGGCAGAACTTGGCCAACTTTCCACAAATGAGAGCTGTCTGAAAGTGGAAGGCTGTCTCTTATGGGAGAGCGAGGAGGAACAAGTACAAGAGCTCTTGAAACCCCAAGAAAGCATCCATACACCCAATTTAGAAAACTATATTGCACTGCTTTGGGTGATCATTTTGTACCAATGTGACTAAACTCAAAAGTAAATTTAAGGGCAGGCCGAGTGGCTCAGTTGGTTAAGAGCTCGCTCAAGAGTTTGAGCTCTGAGCAACAGCGGTTCGATGCCTGGCCCGAGTTGAGCAGTCGCTGAGCTGCCAACAGGTGGCAGGATGGCTCAGCTTAAAAAAAAAAAGTAAATGGTGCCAACTTGGGCCAGTGAAGCAACGTCCTCCACAACTAGACTGAAGAACAAAACGACAGCAACTTGTCTGTTCCCCTTCCCCAATTCCCCAGTGCTGTTCCCATCCCAATTCCCCAATAAAAATCTTTTAAAAAAAAAAGTAAATTTAGGTACCAAAATCACAAGTGGTCATTTAAAAAATGTGTCACATATACTCAATTTCATTTTAAAAACATAAAATTTTAATTTTATTAAAGAGAAATCATGGATCCTACAAAATCTAAGTGAGGATTCTAACTTGAAAAATCCTGAGAGAGAGAGAATAAAAGCCTTTCAGAACCCCTCTAACTCTGAAATTCTGAGGTGCTGGATTCCAGAACTTTGGGCTGTACTTGCATTCTGAGCTTGTTTATGTCGGTCATACAGCCTGCCTACTTCCCAGGCCAGGCTCTCCACTGAGCAAAAACTGCTTGGTTTGCAGTAAACTGCAAAGCAGACACTTAAGCTTTGAATTGCAAGAATGGCAGGGTCCATAGAAACCAGCACCTTCATTCCCTACAAACTCTTCCTTGTCATGTTTCATTAGCCTTCATTTAGCCTCTGTGTATCTGTGAGAAAAGAAAATACAGGGTTGGGAATTAGCATACCAGATGTGGGTTCTGGTTCTACAACTATGTATCATTGTGACTTTTTCCCCCCAAATTTATTGGGGTGACAATGGTTAGTAAAATTACATAGGTTTCAAGTGTACAATTCTATAATACACCATCTATATATCACATTGTGTGCGTGTGTGTGTTTGTTTTTTTTGCAAGTACAATTTTCTTCAAGTCCCTTTCCCTATCTACTTCACAAGGTCATAAGAGCTACAACAGGTGAAACACTTATTAAAGGTAAGTAAATCCATCTAACACATGTAAAGCTTTATTATTATCTGACCTCCTATTCTTAACTGCAGCTGCATATGAGGCATTGATGGTGTTGACAGCAGTCTTGGCCCTGGGGAGATGAGTGCAGGTGACAGCTCTTAGCCTGGGCTGGTGTCTTTGCCTGCTTTCTGAAGTCAAGTATAAATGATTGGAGATTATTTGCCGATTTGGATATTGACTTCTGCTCTTGCCACTGATACAAAAACTAAGAGTTGACTATATTTAGCTCTGTTTTATTTGTCTTGTTTGCCTGAGTCAGATGGGGACTGTTTCTTACCACGCTGAGAGTTTCCCAAAGGCAAAGATCATGTCCCTTTTTGGCCAAGGGGCTCCGATGTTAAGAACTTGTTCTTCCCTCACCACCCACCACAACCCAACCTGAATGGGAAATCTCCCTGAATGGGAAATCTCCCCGAATGGGAACCATGTCTTTGGGCTCTCTTCTCAAAACTCAGGTGTGATTACTCAATCACAAGGGTGAGACCCAAGGGACTGAAGCATTCGGTCAAGGCTAAAAATAGATTAAGCTGTTGCAATTACCTTCTAATAACTGATTTCCCTGGGTGTATGTATCAGACAATGGGACTTTTGTAGTGGTAAAGAATTCAGGAGGCCTAAAGGCAGACAGATCCAGATTCGTACACTGATTTTGCCATTTATTAGTTATGTGGCTGTGCAATTTACCAAACTGGGCCACATTTCTTGTCTGTGAAAAAACGGAAATAGCGCCCACGTTCCAGGCTTGTTGAGAGGATTAAATGAGAAGTAGGAAAAGCAAAAAGCCCTACCACAGAACCTGGTATATATGTGCTCAATAACGAATAATTGTGGAGGGCTGCTGTGCAGCATGAAACAGAGTGTGCGGAAGAGCTTCGTGGAGACCGGTACCTGGAGGCCCTGAGCAGCAAGGCCTGACCAAGCAATCAAGACTCCTGGCTCAGAGTCAATGCTCCGCATGGTCCAATCCACCGCCTCTCGTGAGGCCTTGAATACCAACCATCATGGGCCGCCCAGAGTCCCGAAGGAGGATAGGCGGCCAGGAGTCAACCTGGCTTTTTGAAGGAAAGCCCCTCCAAGAAGGCCTGCCGCATTCCGGCTCCCGGTGGGTGCTCTTCAGCACCGGCGGCCCTGAAGCCCTTTTACTTACCCAGGAGTGGTAACCGTCCTTAACGGCAGCCAATAACAACTCACCTGTGGCCCAAGCACTAGCATGGCAGGCTGAGGTCAAACCTTGGATTTGGAGCCTCCACGCCCGAAACTTGCATCGAACTACAATTCCCAGCATACCACGCGGTCTGCCGGGTCGCGGAGCGTCGGCCCCGCCAACTTCGGAGCCCTTCTTTCCTCAAAGCGCGGCCGAAAGCCCGGTACTTCCGAGTAGTGCTGGCTCCCAACCTAGGACAGCCTCCCTTCATGATTTCTGGGTATTGTAGTGTACCTTGTTCCGGTTTCCCGGGAATGAGCCGCGCCTAGTTACGACTCGCTTCGCCACAAAAACTACAAAACCCAGAATATAGCGCAAGTCCCCCTCGTCCAATAGGAACCTCCCATGTAGCGAGGCGCGGAGGCCGGCTCTCGCAACTCAAGATGGCGGACGAGAGTGAGACAGCAGTGAAGTCGCCGGCACCTCCGCGGCCGCAAATGATGGAAGGGAACGGAAACGGCCATGAACACTGCAGCGATTGCGAGAACGAGGAGGACAACAGCTACAACCGAGGGTAACGAGATCCTCGGAGTCCAATTCCCATCCAGTCTCCCACAACCTGGGTCTCTGGGGTGCGGGGAAGTGACCGGGAGCTTAGTGTAATCCCACCCCCATGTTCTTATTGGCTGAGACGTTGGGATCCTGTCTGGCGATTGGTTGCTGTTTTTGTCATTTACCAGAGTGGGTGCTCATATATTAAGGGTCGGAGACATTAAATACTTTTATTATATAAAAGTTCTGTGTAATGTTCAACTCATATGCTTCAGGCGCGTCCGGGGAAAAGAGCCTGTTGGATGATGGTTTTCGATGGCACAACACGGGTAAATATAATACTACAGTTCAAAGGGAACGTTACTTATAGAGGTGTTGTGTGAACAACGTGCTTAGCAATAAACGAATAATAAAATATTTAGCTGCCGTTCACCTTCAATGAGGAAATTCACCAAGCTATACAAACCATAATTATGTTGTAAAATGTCACTACCAGAGAATCTCAAAATATAAACTTACCTTATAAACTCTACGTAATTACTGTATAAGGTGTCCGTTGCTCCACATAATCCATGTTTCCTAAATAGTATATAATTAGGTCTTCCAGCATCTTTGTTTGCGAAGTAGCCTCAAGCTTCAAGAAATTGAGTAATGGTCTTTTTTGGACAATGTTTAATACTGCATCTCCTGTACTTCAGGGTTTTGCCTGCTAGTAACTGTCTGTTCCTTGGGCAGAAGAAGTGCATCGCGCGTTTGAGTGGAGTTCCATTTCCAAATCAGTTTTCACTCTTGTAAGCCACACCCTATCACTCTTTCTTCATTGTTACAGTGGCTGGCACTGACACTCACTCTCCCTATCTATATGTTTACAAATGTGTTTTTTTAACGGAAAGTCATGAGAGTCTTTTGGATGTATAACTTGCTGGTTCTGTGATCTGATTTTCATAGCCGTCTTGTCATTTGCAGTATTGATGGTAGTCCTGGAGGACAAGGTAGGAGATAGAGGTCTTTGGATTAAAAAAAAAAAAATCTGCTACCTTGTAGAGATGAGAGAATATAGGATTATTTAAATGGTTTAAAATCTGCCTGCGGTGAATCCTTAGGTTAAAAGGCATAGCTTTTATGTTCTTCAAACAGTATTAAAAATGACAAGAAGAATGTAGAGGAAGAGGAAGCTTGTCAAATTTGGTTTTGATGACTATTCTTTTGCTGTAACTCACAACAGATCTAATGTAATAAAAGCCTTGCTTCCGAAGTTTGAGTTTCCTAAGAATGGAAGAGCTGAGAAAGAAAATAGAAACAGGAAGAAGGGAAAGTGCAGCCCTTCTGAGTAGAGAGCCCAATCACAGATGAGAGTTGTTGAATTAGAAGTCATTTCAGAAGTGAAAGTACAGCTCCTTTGCTCTTTGTGTAGCTGCTTTTACTTTTCTTTGCTAAACTGTTTCCCTGACTAGTGTCTATAGCTCTTTAATTAGTTTTGTTCCCTATAATCTATTAATTATTTTGCAAAACTGCTTGGCAGAAAGTTCTGTGTTTTATTTATAGTACAGAAAAGTGGTAACCTAAAAAAAAACTGAATTTTTTTTTTTAATGGTTGTTTTTGTACATAATTATGGTCTGGGTGAACAAATTAAGTTTATTAGCATCCCGAATCTAGAGGTCTTTATAATAAATGAGTTAGGAGGTGGCAGGTGAAAAGCGGAGGACCCAGCCTGGAGGACAGAGCCTAGTTCTGCCATTTGGATTCTGAGGTAGAGTCAACATTTTTCCATTAAGTGTCAGAGGAAATGGTTTCGGGAAGAAGCTGTATGGCATGGTGGGAAAAACATAGACTCTGGAGTCATTCCAACCTGGATTCAAAGCCTGGTACTGTCCCTAAACAGTCCTGTGACCTTGGTAAAGTTACTTAATCTCCAGTTGTAGGAATTAAAGAGATAACATCTAGAATTTGGTCTTCCCCTTCCCTCATGTTGTTTCTTCACATCTTCTGTGTCCTTCCCCTAGCTTGCCTCCCTGCCCTTATCACATACTGTATTTTTTGTAGCTTTTATCATGACAATAGTTAAATAACATGTGTCCAGTCCTTGCTTCACCTAACTGTAAGATGTCTTAGAACAGGGTTCATGTCTTTGAGATGCCTGGCATTTAGTGGTAATGAATAGTTGCTGGATGAATGTATGGCAAATGCTAAAGTCCTTAGCCCAGTGTTAGTAGAATTTCATTTCTTCTCACTGAGGAGATGTCAGATTTTCCTTACATATACACTTTCTTTTCCCAAATAAGTCTCATTGTAAGCCTTGCTACAGTTTTTATGAAATACCTGCAGAAGTCAAGGATCCTCCAATTTACTATGAAAGTTTTCCACTCCTTTTTGGCTTCTTGAAAATTTTCTTGTCTTATAATACCGGGGATGCCAAAAAAATGTACGAGTATACACATTTTAAGAGATATTAACACTTTGGTCAACATTACTCAAGCAGTAGTTTGCTGTAATCAGAAGTGTCTGGACGCTGATGGTAACCACTTTGAGCACCACTTGTAATTGCAGAAGTCAAATGTGACTTGTATTCATCTTTTGTTGTCAGTATATATGGAGTATTACAATTTTAATACAGTTTTTGCCTTTCTTAAAATGTGTATACATTTTTTGGGCACCCTCTGTATTTAAAATGTTTTCAAAAGTGACATAAGAATTGAAGGGGAATAGGGAATAGTTCCTTTCGATGCTAATGATTCTAAAGTATCATATTTGCAATTAGTTTATGATAATTCAAACCCTTATTCTCTTAGGCTTTTCTTTTAGGATGGGCTCACAGTGCTTTACACTAATAAAAGGCTCTACATTCATGCACTGGAAGCATAGGAAATGCAGTTGTGTTAGTTTTTTATGTTCCTTTATAAGTTTAGTTCTTGACTTTTTCTGTCATGTGTTTCTTCCATAATTAAACATTTGGTGAGTATAAATTTCATCTGTACATATAAACATGTATATGTGCACGTGCATACATATATAGTATATGTATATGTTTGTGTGTATATGTATATATGGATCTGTCTACAGTTTTTCTATCAGCTATTTTTTTTATTAAATTATTTTTTATTATGAAATACACATTTTTTAGAATTAGTTTCAGCTGTACAACACAGTGCAATAGTTATACTTTTTACCCCTCG